CTGCTGTTGATCATGCCTTTAGCACCATTTATTATTTTCTTCCAACTACTATAAAACAACACACTCAGTGTACTCTCTGTACAACACATTCCTCCCAGCACCCACCCCCAGCCCAACTTCACCTGTTTCTATTCTGAAGTAATGGCTGGTAGCCAATACTAGATAATCCCCAAAGGACCTCAGGTCTACACTTCTTTAACTCTATCATTTAACCTGACACAAATCAGAGATCTATTCCATTCTCCCACCTTCCACAATGCCAGATGTGTAGGAAAGCTGTTTGACTAAAGAGACAGATATGCTGAGGACAACACTAGCACAGTCGCCGCTGTTATCGAATCATCTCTTTACCCCTGGACAGAATTCCAGGATAAGCCGGGCCCCGTTCTGATCTGTCACTGACCTACCTGGCTGGGAATGTTTCCACTCACTCTCCCATGCCCTGCTACTTGGCCCTGATGAGGGTTTTCATTTTATCCCTAAGCAGCTTTCTTCTCGGTTCCATTCCTGAATACTAGAGGCAGGCCATGGTGAGCTCAGAGGTAGAAAATCCAGGGCAGCCAACTTTCTGGCCATATTCTACTGGACATTCAACCCCTGGCTCACATTACGGCTCTCCCAGACGACAACTGCGGCAGCATGAAAACCCACCTCAGTCCCCCAACCGCAGGAACCGTCATTAAATGCTGTCTCTAGCCATCAAGTCTATGCCAAGGCCACACTATGCTGCTCTCAGCCAGTAACTGAGTGGTGGGGGTACTTACATAAGTGCCATTCCTGAGGAGGGGGACTCCTCTGATGGGCAAGTTTGGACTGAGAATTCCCCACTCCTAGAGCTGCTCAGTCTAAGGCCCTCCCTCCCTCCCTCCCTCCCTCTTTCACAGGCATCAGACCTGTACTGTGTTCTGATGGCTCTCCTGGCCTCCCCTGGCTGATGTTCCCCTCACTGTTTTCCACAATAAACCTCTTGACCAGGTAATGCTCAGTTTGCTTCTCAGCACCCAAAGTATCACAAGTGGTGCCAGAAGTGGCCGGAGGAAACAGGTGATGAGATGGAGCTCTGAGACAGGTTCACTCTCTGCCAAGTAGGCAAGAAGGATGCTGTCCGGAGTGGTGTTGGGGACAGTCTCTGGCCGTTCATTGCTAAAGATTTAACCAGAGGTGACCTGGGAAAATCCAGGGAAGAGAAATGCCTTTGCAGGTGCCATGATTCAAGCATGTGAAAGATGGGGAGAACACTGCCTGCAAACAGTTGAGGTGACTGTGGGTTGCACTGATGCCCTGCAGGAGAATGAGGAGGAACTGAGGGCCATTGCCAAGCAGGTGCAAACCACATGTGAAAGCCTGGGAGCCTCCCTGATGGCTTACAAAGAAGCCCTTATCAACGGCAGTGCAAGAGCAGACTCGGCAACATATCAAACAGGGTGGTCAGCCTCTGCACTTCTTTTTTTCTTTCTTTTCCATTTATCTTTATTGTTGAGAGTATTCAGACCCATGAAAAATGTAAAAGCAGCTCTTAGCATGCTGTCCACAGCAGGCTGTGGGGAGGATTGGCCTGTGGGCCACAGCTTGACATCCACAAATAAAAGGCATGAAAGTTTGAACTGCACAGCCAAGACTGGTATTTAAGGTCAGGGCCCTGGCCGCAAAAACCTGGCACACTCAAACATGGGGTGGAGACATCGGTGGAGACCCCGGACACGCTAGTCTGCACCCAGGTAGGAGGCAGCACACCGCTGCGCTGCAGAACACGCCCCTGGCCAGGCCACAGTGCCCTCAGAAACTGCCCCTTTCCTCCCCGAGCAGGCACACGGAATACTGGGCTTAAACCCTAGAATAGCCATCAGGCTGGGAAGTGCAGCCCTGGTAAGGGAAGAAAGAGTCTATACACTGAAACAGCCCAAGGAATTAGCTAGCATGAACGAGGAGGAGCCGAGGGAGTGCCCCTGATATTGGCTGAATGTTTGTCGAAGGTGCTGGAATAGAAGACTGGATCAGCAAGAATTCACTGGCTTTGGGCATATTCTCAGGACACAGGACCTAACACCCTAGGCAAGGATGACAGGAGAGGGTGGCTCCTTAGACACCTGGTGTAAGTGGTGACCAGGCTGAGAGAAGTAGAAATGCTGAGCTGAGAAAAGGGGGCTGGCTGGAATGGGTATATTATGAAACAGAAAACCCACCAGAGAATTATGTTCCCTGGGAGGGCTCAGAGGACTCCCCCTCACCAAGGACATGAGGAATGTGCTAGTGAGAAAGGCACGGGCATCCCTGAGAAGTTCTGGGTGGCCCTCTGCAGGCACAGCCAACTGGAACAGGCGCACACAGACCTGGGCGTGGTGATATCCATGGAATGACTGGCCAGTGGCCCCATCCCCACCCCCAAGTAACGGAAGCCAGGCAGAGTGGCGTAACCACAGAAGCTGAGGTCGCATATAATGGCCAGTAATGTTGAAGAGGGAGCCCAGGAAATATATTCTTAGGGGCAAAACAGATGTGTATCCAAAAAGTAATAGCTTCATTGGATCCCACAATAGAAAAACAATGTAAAGATTTCCTGCTTTATTGAATACTTTCAATAAAATGATCATGAAAAATTGGTAGTGCTTTTTAGTTACCGAGGTGCTGGCATGCAGGCAAAAGAATCATCTTTCTAATCTTCCATTTAACTTTATATAGTGCTTTAGGACTCAAAACATGCCTTCTTATACATCATTTCACTCACCTTCGAAGCAAACTTTGAAATAGGTATTATTATGGAGAAACTGATACAGAGATTAAGCTACTCACCCAGCCTCAACTGCTTCTCCTCTGCATCCCGTTAAGCAAGCAAGTACTGTGCTGGGTGCGAGGAATAAGGGAATAAAATCCCACTTCCTTCTCTTTTCCTCTTATTCTCTTAGTTGTCCTTGGCTTCCACCAAAACCCACAGACCTAGACGAGCATTTCTGAAAAACACTCTTCTCCGGGTGGCTGCCCAGAAGCGATTTTCCTTTTGGGCCTCTGCTTCGTTGAACTGAAAGCTGCACTTGAAATGAGATCAGACACTTTTCTGGAAAACCAAACAGGCATGAAGCTCTGGCCTGGGCTGCTCAGTACAGCTGCATGAGATAAGGCTATCCTTCCTCTACACTCTTACAAATAATCAATTTTATTTCATTCGTAGACTGTTTGATCAATGCAAGGTAGTCCTTATTATTTTATTGTTTACTACTTGTTCCAAGCTAGCTTTTATTCAAACCTGTAAAGAACTTTTGTGAATTTGAGCCAAACTGTCAACAATTGCCGGGAAGCAGTATCTCAATGGATTGGGATAATGCTCTGGAGAATGGCAGGTTTTCATCTATTTTATACATTACAATCAAAGGAGGGACATAGGTGGGTTACATGAAATCCACTGGTGATAGACTAGAGAAGCTGGAGAAAGCCAAGCGGGGGGAGAGGGGGAGGGAGGAGAGGTGAACCTCTAGGATTGGATAAAAAGTAACATGATAGACACAAACTTAGATGGGTGTAGGATAGCCAACAGTCAACAATTAACATGAGGGAATAAAGGAATTTGTGGTATCTGTCTGGCACCCAGGCACATTAGGTTGTGCCCCAAGGGGTCCAGAAAAAGGGAAGTTACAAGTTACCCAGACATTTCAAGGATATGTTATTATAGATGCAAAAAGACAGATAGGCTCAGTTAAGGTAAAGGTTGACCTTGTCAGTGAGGATACCGGCCTAGGACGTAAGTACCCACCATAACTGCTTTTAGTTAAAGTTTAATTTCAGACCATCCTTTGGATTACTTTAGGTCTCTAGATTTGCAAGACTGCCATGTAGGCCTTTCCTGAGCTTGTCAGGTTAGCATGTGGCCCCTTTCATCAACATTTCCAAATAAATATAAATTCCTTACAATCTCTACTTCTGCTTCTACCTATCCCCTTTGAACTGATTTTATTTAGAACTAGAGGCCCAGTGCATGAATTTGTGCAAGGGTGGCGTCCGGCTGGCCCAGCCCCAATAGGGGCGGATAGGGGCTGGGCCTGTCGGGGGGAGGAGATGGCAGGAGGTTGGTCGGCCGGCCTGCCCCGATCAGGGCCTGATCAGGGCCAGGCCGGCTGGGGGAAGGGGCCATGGGCAATTGGCTGGCGGGCCCCACCCCTGATTGGGGTTGGGGGGCCAACTGGGGGCAGGACCAGCCATGGGGAGGGGCTGCAGGAGGTTGGTGGGCTTGCCCCCTATTGAGGTGGGGGGGGCCGTCAGAGGCGGGGCCAGCAGGGGGAGGGGCTGCAGGCTGATCAGGGTGGTGGGGTCCCATCGGGGGCGTGGCCAGCCAAGGGGAGGGGCTGCAGGAGGTTGGCTGGCCAGCCCCGCCCCCTATTGGGGTGGGGGAGTGCAATCAGGGGCAGGTGGGCCGGTGGGAGGGGCTACGGGCCTCTTGTGGTGGGGCGGGCTGATTGGGAACAGGGCTGGCCAGGGGGAAGGGAGGGGGCATTTGGCTGGCGGCCAGCTCTTGGCTCTTGATCAGGGTGGGAGAGTCTGATCAGGGGCAGGTTGGCAGGGGGAAGGGGCAATGAGGTTGGCCAGCTGGCCCCACCCCAATCGGGCTTGTTGGCTGGCCACAGTGGCCACAGTGGGCGACCCATCATTATGGTCATTATGGCCATTAAGGTCACTGGCTTTTTATATATAGATATAGATGCTCCTGTCATCTGTCAATACCCTTTCTGTATATAGTCAGTCCCTGTGGCTACCAGCCTTTTTTCAACTAATTTTAGAGAAGATACCACCTAATGTGGGCTCTCATTGCGTTACTTAGTTACAGCCATTTTCTCAAGACCTGATATTAACTCTTTCAGACCCTGCTGCTTGGATCATTCCCATAGCTACCCTCATGTTTTCATTGAGCACACTGAGCAGCTCAGGGCATTTTTACTTCCGGGTAAAAAGGTTTTCAGTTATAAGGAGCCAGAGTCGCAGAGTCCGCTGACTACCCTTGCTCAGCCACTTACCTCTGCAATCAGATCATGCAGCTCCCCTTCGTTCGGGCAGCATCCCAGGGACCTGATGATGGTGCCGATCTCTCTGGGGGGAAAGTGGTCAAGAGTCTTAGAACATCCACTCTGAACCTCCTCTTACGGACGAGGACACAGTTAAGTGACTTGCTCAGAGTCCCCTGTAGCCAACATATTCAAGCAGCAACCTCCACGGGAAGAGGGGAATCTGGGAGCTGGGGAGAGTCTGAGAGGAGGGACAAGTAGAACGGGATGAGAACAGAAACAAAGTCCCTGGCAGGTGAGAAAAGCAGGTTAATTAGCGTTCTGGCTTAGGAGCAGACATCTCCCCTAGACTTCTAGAAAGAACAGTCTTCACATCTCACTCATATCCCTTATACCATGATCATGATCTGTCTGGAGGTAAGAAAAAATACCTCCAGGCTGTCGGGTTAGTATTAATAGAATACAGTGATAGCAAGTTTTTATAAGTCCTCCAGGCTCTGTTTTAAAGTGCTTTAACTATTCATATCCACTTAATCCTCACGTTAGCTCTGTGTGGTAGGTACTATTATTTTACAGATGAGGAAAAGTTAGGTAATTACCCCAAGATGTTTGTAAAAAGAGAAAAGGATTCAAACACAGGCAAGTGGAATCCATATTTTTAACCATTGCACATTGCTGACTTGCATAAATCTCAGCTGAGAATTTAATTAGACTTAAAGGAGAACTTCTTGACTGTAACAGGTGCTTCTAAAGAGAGATCTGGAAATTCCACCCGATGGGAGCCTGGAAGAGAGATCCAGGGTCACAAAGTGATGGTCCAGGGACAGACCTGGCCCTCGGAGAATGTTTTATTTGCATAGTGTTGGTGTGTTTATATAGTGCGTACATACATGTCATGAGAACTGTCGTATACCTTCTCATTCACACACTTATGTTACAGACCTGGTCCCTGTTTATCACCCTTGGAAAATATCAATTTTGTTCTGTCAAAGAATTTATCTGCAAGAAGCAGAGGAATGAGCAAATGACTCTTAAAGTCCTCCCCAATGCTCTGATTCTAAGATTATCTTTAAAAATACACACAAAATCTGTAGCTTATGTAAGAGAATGCTCTTGTTCTCAGAAAATATACACTGGCCCAGCTGATATGGTTCAGTGGTTGAAGCATCAACCTATGAACCCAGAGGTCATTGGTTCAATTCCCAGTCAGGGCACATGCCCAGGTTGCAGGCCCTAGGGGGCATGCTGGAGGTAATCGATGATGTTTCTATCTCTCTATCCCTCTCCCTTCCTCGCTCTCTAAAAAGCAATAAAAACATTTTTTAAAAGAAAATATATACTGGAGTATTTCTGGAAAAAGGTCACAATGTCTGCAACTTAAATAGTCCAGCAAAATTAAAATAATGATTAAATAATAAAATGCATAAATGTGTACATACAGGGTGTCCCAAAAAATGTGCACACACTTTAACAGCTGATAGCTCAATTTTGAAAATAAAATGTATTTTTAAAAACACTGCCTTTATAATTATTCAACATGTGTGTAAACATTTTTTAGGACACCCTGTATATGGAGAGAGACAGAGAGTGAGTCCATGCAAGCAAGAGCTCATTTGGCAAAATGTTGAGAACTGGGGAATCTAGGTGAAAGTGCATAGCAGTTCGGTGCACCATTCCTTCTATTTGTCTAGCAGTTTGAAATTTTTTTATGAAAAAGTGTTTATTTTAAAAATACACATAAGCACATTTCAGTCTCAGCAATCAAAACCAAAGTAATAAGGAATAATAACAGAAATCCTGCCTTTTATAAACTACTTATAAAACAACTGGCTTTTTCTGTGTTATGCTATTTTTATCACTTTGGCTTGAAATGTTGATTATCAAGGATGTCTTAACCTTCAGTTTCACAGTGAAATACATGAGTTACAACCTGTTTACACAGCACTGTAGAACTGAAATTGAAAACTTGGCAACACTGAGTAGATCTAAAATATCGTGCAGTATGAGCTGGGATGAGGCTGCTATGGGTCTACTGTTCCTTGCAGCAAATTCTTTCTTAAGAAGTATGTGGAGAGATGGCGGAACAATGAGGAAGGCAGTGCTGTGAACTGCTCCTGCTGCCACAGGATGAGAGCCGGGCTGCATGGTTGACGTGTACTGAGCACTGGGCTCAGGCTCTCAAAAGATGAGCAGTTCCCAGCAAAACGATCAGAGTGACCTTTGGCCCAAGAAGGCCGGCTGATGGCACTGCCCCGTAAAGGCCAGGTTGAGGGTGACTAAGAAGAACATAAACCTAGGGCAGAGGTAGAGGAAGGGCGGCGATGTTTAAATACTAACAGGTCATTCTTCTCAAATGTGTTCCTTCCTCAAAAGGCAATGGAATGAGGTGCATTTCTTCAGGAGGCCTCCCTAGGTCCTGCACAGAGTCCCTGGGAGGACAGGAAAGGGAAGTTAAAGCAGGAACACAGATGACTCAGAGCTCTCCTGCTCTCTGTCCTGAAACACGCCCAGAGGACAGAATAGAGTGATCCTGTGAGCTCCTTTCACTCTGGAATTTTGTGTCAAGACCTGGGAACGCAGCAGAGGGGTCGGTGGGCCCTGAAGAACTCCAGATGGCCTCTGGAAGGAGCTGGGAACCTGCCATTCTGGGAGAACCATACAGCCAACTTAGACGTAGTAAGGCTCCCAAAGGTCAGCTAAGGAAAAAGGAGCAGGACAAGAAAAAACAGAGGCCAGAAAAAGACCAGGCCATTAATTCTAGGTATGAACTACAAACTAACTCCAAAAGCCTTTATGGTTAAATATTAAGAATTTGTTTCTGTACTTGGAGTATACAGACAGTACTAAACATGGAGACAAAGTCATTTCACAACAAATGAGTCACAATAAGGTTGCCCAAGAGTGACATCACCATTTGATTTATGTAGAGCATTTGGGCCATTTAAAATGTTTGAGGGGGGGTGGGAGGGGCAGGTTGATTCTTGGCAAGCCAGCCTTCAGTGGGTGTGATATCACGTTTCTGACACAAGGTGGAGCCAGTGCCATTGAGCTAGGTTGTGAGACTTCAGTTTAAGGGCAATCTAAGGTCAAAACATCAGAAAGTGAAGACCTGATTCAAGACAACTGATGCAATGCTAAGGGAGAAAAGAACAGGCAAAATATTTTACCCTCTATGGAATAACTGACATTTGGCTAAGTATAAGAGACTATTAAAAGCAATTCAAAAATTCCTAAGAAGGAACAAAAGATGTGAAATTATTCTTATTCACTTAATAAATATTTATTGCACACCACTATGTGCCTAGAACCACTTTATAGTAGAGCAGACAACACAGAGAAAGCCTTGCCCTCAAGGAAGGCATTTTTCACAAATTAATCCTATTTTGACAAAGCCATGGAATGAAGTTGAAATAATGGCTAAATCTCCTTATTTGCAGAACTGCTAAAAAAAAATAAAATAAAATAAAAAAGCCTCTTTTTCCAAATATCCCTCTAATGAAGTGACAGTCATTTTTCTGCTACTGAAATATGCTTTCAGAAAACCCTCTGGTTCTAACTTGTTACATGATTATTTCTTACCCTGTCCTATGTGCTAGAGTTTGTAGCCCCCAAATGAAGAACCCTGACCTCCTATGGCTCAGGCACTGCCTTAGGCACTGAGGTTACTGTCAAGCATTAGACAAGGTCCCTGCTCTAACCATGGAATGCACAATCCAGTGGGAGAAAGCACATACACTCAAGTAAGTACACATATGAGCTAACTTAATGAGAAAGCACCACCACCATCATCATGATCATAACTATTAGTTTGCTAGGGCTGCCATAATAAAACACCAGACTGGGCAGCTTAAACAACAGAATGTATTTCCTCCCAGTCTGGAGGCTGAACTCCAGGATCATGGTGTTGGCGGGTTGGCTTTTCTGAGACCTCTCTCCTTGGCTTGCAGACGGCCATCTTCTCATAGTGTCCTCACTTGGTCTTTCCTCCCTGCACATGCATCCCTCGTGTCTCTGCCAAATTCCTTCTTTTTAAAAATATATATATATTTTTTTTAAATTGGTTTCAGAGAGGAAGGGAGAGGGAGAGAGAGATAGAAACATCAATGATGAGAGAGAATCATTGACCGGCTGTCTCCTACACACCCCACACTGGGGATCGAGCCTGCAACCTGGGTGTGTGCCCTGACCTGGAATTGAACCATGAACTCCTGGTTCATAGGCCAACTCTCAACCACTGAGCCACGTCGGCTGGGCCAAATTTCCTCTTTTTATAAGGACAGCAGTCAGATTCGATTAGAGCTCATTTTGACTTAAGCACATCTTTAAAGACCTTATCTCCAAATAAGGTTATATTCTGAGGTACTGGGCATTAGAGACATGACTTTCAGGGGTCAAAACTCAGCCCATAACAATAATAATAGTTATTATACTCCTGCCACCACCACTCTCTTTGGACCACCATTCTCTCTTGCCAGGACCAGCGCAATAGCCTCCATATAGTCAATCTGTTTCTCTTACCAACCACCTCGATCCATTTCCTCACAGCAACCAGAATAATCGTTTCAAAATAAAGATCTCATCATGTAATTCCACTGCGTAAAACCCTCCAACGGCTTCCCACTGCACTGATACCCTAACCTCCTGGGCATGGCCTATACGGCGACATCATGCTGCCTCTGCCAAGTTCTGCCCGATCGCACACCACTCTCACTACATCACAGGACTCCGTGCTCTGGTTTTCTCTAACACACTAACCCCTTCCCCTTCAAGGGACCTTTGTATTGGCTGTCCCCAGTCCTTTACATGGCTGACTCCTTCTAACTTAAAGATCTCAACTCAACAATGAGCTCCAGAGACACTTTCCCTGACCACAATGTCTACACTGTCTCATCCCACCTAACACCCCTAGTTCTCTAATACATCACTGTTTTATTTTCTTATAGCACATTTTATTACATCATCCTGGTTTTTTACTTTACAGCACTATTACTACCTGAAATTGCATTTATTTATCTATTTACTTTTATACTGTCTCTTTCCTCTAAAGTGTAAACTCCATGAGGACAGAGGCCTTTCACTGCTATA